CTTTTTAGTTTATGAATCAATCCCATCCATATAGGCTCTGGTCAATTTACACCCTAGGGGAAGAGGAGCCCTTACACAGTCAGCGGCTTAATAAACCATCCTGTAAGTGGGGTATTTGGACTCCACTTCATTAAGACCAGCAATTAACTTGCTATCTTTTTGGTTTGGAAAACTTGAAACCTCCTAAGGGCAGTCTGTAAATTACTGTAGGTATAATACCAATATTGTGTCTGCCCAGAACTGATCTTAACAAAATGTCCTAATGGGCTAAATAAACAAAAAAAGCTTGGAAGATGTTGCTGATAAATGATGATGAATGTACACCAATAAAGCTCTTCTTCCCGTTGCCTTAATATTTTTTCTACAACTTTCCTAAAGAATGTTTTCCTGACATAATATCTGATTTGACTTAGATAATAACACTATTGTCAGGCGTTTTACCACAGGCTCTAAAACAGCATTTATTAAACAGCTGTTGAAAATTAACAACTTGCCCAAGTTGCTCCTACAGAAATACAGGCCTATCTCAAAGCTCCCCTTTATCAGTAAGATTAATGAAAAAAAATTTAAGAGCTAAACATCATTCTAATACTGAACAGCTGCTTCAACGTTCTTCTGTGCTTGCGACAGTGCAAAGACTATCCTTGGCAAGTTGTTCAATAATATCCGTATAAATGCAGATGTGGAAGAACCCCAGTGCTTGCACTGGTATTGATCTTCTCTATCAATCAATAAATCCAAAAGGTAACACTAAAAATGTTGTTTTCTTCAAATAACCTTTCCTTCCCCAGTTTTTTATGTCAGTGTTAAAAATCAAAACCAAACAGAACAGCGCTGCCTTTAACTGTAAAGGTTATCTGATAAACATCAGTGAGATATTAAACTTTCCTTTTTCTCTGTCAGCCTCTCAGGGTGACATTGTTGGCTCAGGCCCGTTGCTGTGGTGTTTATTAGGAGTCCTGCAGCAGCTGTGTCAGATGGGATTATTAAAAGCTCACTGCAAAGCTTCCTGTTCTGCAGTTTTAATATAGTTTGTTCATTAAAGGTTCAACAATTTGACCTCTCTGAGATTTAACTTCCTAACCTTTGCAAAAATATTTTTGTCACGACTTGATATAGACTCCAGATTTGAGAGCACTAATAGAATAAATGTGTAATAGAGTAATAACTGGCTAATAATACCCCTTTGGTTCTGGTTTTATTGAATAAGCTTAGTTCAATCCATATTTCAACAAAAA